TTCTCTCCTTCAGGATGGCATGGTCTCCTTGCTGTGCTGGTGTCCCACAGTCTGGGAAGTGCCCGCAGCGGTGGTAGTCTCTCCCTGTCCAGGAGAGCCTGGTGTGCTATCCCCTTCTGCTCCTATGGGGATTTAACTGCCCCTTACTCAGTCACACACACCACACACTCTTCTTTCAAACCCTCACTCACTCACTTCCTCTCCCTCACCTCCATCCTGCCAGCTGCCATCTTTAAGAAGTCCCAAATTAATATTTCTAGGCCAAGCTTCTATTAACTCCAGGTTCATAAGTCCAATTACATATTCTGTATCTCTACTTTTATATCTAATGGGCTTGACAAATTGTACATATACACAACCACAATCCAAAACTTTCTCCCTAAACCTGCTCCTTTTCATTATCCCCATCTTAGTAATAAATGGCACCATATTTACCTGGTTTTAACTCCTTTGGTGGCCTCTCCTATCTTTTTGTGACTTTTTTGCTTTGTTCTACCTTTTGATGTTTAAATGCTCCAGGACAAAGATTGTTCCTTTAAATTTGCAGAATCTCCCCAAGTGATCTCATGAAATACTAGTGGCCTGGTGCATGAAATTCATGCACAGAAGGGGGTGTCCCTCAGCCTGGTCTGTACCCTCTCCAATCTGGGACCCTATGGGATCAGGCCTAAATCGGCAGTTGGACATCCCTCTCACAATCTGGGACTTCACCTTCCTGCCTGCCTGATCACCCCTAACCACTCTGCCTGCTTGCCTGCTCACTCCCAACTGACCCCCTGCCAGCCTTTGTGTCCCAACTCCCTCCATCAGCCTGCTTGCTCCCAGTTGTCCTCTCTGCTGGCCTGATTGCACCCAACTGCCACCCTGCTGGTCTGATCACCCCCAACTCCCCCCCCCCACCACCAGCCTGATCACCCCCAACTGCCCTCCCCTCCTGGCTGCCTCTAATCACCTCTGCCTCAGCCCTGCCACTATAGCTTTGTCTGGAAGGATGGCCAGAAGGTCTCCCGGTCTAATTAGCATATTACCCTTTTATTAGTATAGACGCTAATGATGCTCTAATTTAAACATGGTCAGGTTACTCAAATAAAAGAAAATCACTAGTTTATTTCCCCTCTTCTCCAATCAGTTGCTTCTGCCAAAAATCTGTAAGTAATATCGTATTTCTTTCTTTCCCTTGGCCCCTACTTCCAATCCATGTGCAAGTCCTATAAATTCTACCTAGAAATATATTCCTTATCTCTCTATTTCTCTTATCTCTACTGCCATTACCCTAAAATATTAATGATAAAAAAGTCTTAGAAAACTGAGATTAAATGGGATATTCTAACCTGATAACAGATGTCTACCAAGTCTTCAGCAAACATCATACTAATAACATTCTAATTTAATTCAGAAAGACAATGAAAAATACAGTGGTGCCTCGCATAAAGAACGCCTCGCACAGCGAACGCTGCACACAACGAACTTCATTTCATGATTCATACAACGAACTTCGTTTCACACAACGAAGTCGCCCGAGCTTCCACGACCGCTTTGCCCGAGCTTCCACGACTGCTTCGCCCGAGCTTCCACGATCGCTGCCGATGTATTGCATCCTTCCGCGCAGGCACTGCAGGCAGTCGTTAGTCACTGCGCTTAACTTAAGCACGTATCGCGGCAATCGTTCTTCATTACGAATTAAATCACGCACGTATCACGGCAGTCGTCCTTTTAAGTTAAACTCAATATTTTTTTTTATATCATGGCTTCTAAAAAAAGCAGGAAGGTGATTTCTGTTGAAATGAAACAGGAAATAATTAGAAGGAGTGAATGTGGGGTAAAACAGTGTGACCTCGTCAAAGAGTTTGGCCTCAGCAAGACCACCATTTTCACCATTTTGACAAATAAGGATGCAATCAAATCAGCCAACGTAGCCAAAGAAGTATCAAAACTATTTCATGAAAAACATAGGTCTTCAATCCACGAGGAAATGGAGAGGCTATTAGCGATTTGGATTAAGGACAGGCAGGTGAAAGGTGACGTAACAACCGAAGATATTATCTGTCACAAAGCCAAGAGAATTTATGACGATCTAAAGAAAAACGTCCCTGGAAGTAGCAGCAATCAAGATAATGAAGAAGAATTCAAAGCCAGCAGGGGGTGGTTTTTTAGATTTAAGAAAAGGTGTGGAATCCACAGCGTTACTATGCATGGTGAGGCTGGCAGTGCTGACAAGAAAGAAGCAGAAAAGTTCTCTATTAACTTTCAAAAATGTATTAAGGATGAAGTATACTGCCCACAACAAGTGTTCAATGTCGATGAAACGGGTCTTTTCTGGAAAAGAATGCTGAGCAGAACCTTCATTACAAAAGAGGAGAAGAAATTGCCAGGACACAAAGCCATGAAGGACAGACTTACCCTTATGTTTTCGTCTAATGCCAGCGGACACCTCAAGATCAAACCTCTATTGGTTTATCACTCTGAAAATCCAAGAATTTTCAAGAAAAATAACGTTATTAAGTCCAAACTGCCCGTCCATTGGAAGTCCAATCAAAAAGCCTGGGTGACCCAAGTTATCTTCAACGAATGGATTCTGGAAACCTTTGCTCCTGCCGTGAAGAAATTCTTGCTGGAAAAAGAACTGCCGCTCAAAGCCCTTCTGATACTTGACAATGTCCCTTCTCACCCAAAAGACCTAGAGGAAATATTGCAGGAAAATTATCCTTTTATCAAGGTGCAGTATTTGCCACCAAACACCACATCCATTCTTCAGCCAATGGATCAGCAAGTTATTGCGAACTTTAAAAAACTCTACACTAGAGCCCTCTTTAATAAGGTGTTTGAAGAATGCGAGTTTGGTGGAGACAATATGACTGTCCGAAAGTTTTGGAAGGAGAAATTTGATGTCCTTATGGCAATACGACTTATACAGAAGGCCTGGGAAGAAGTGTCACAAAGGACCCTCATTTCTGCTTGGAAGATGCTTGTGCCTTCGTGGACCCAGGAAAAAGCAGTAGTTGATGACACAGAAGTGGTGAAGGACATCATCACAGTGGCCCAAAGGTTGGAATTAGAGGTAGAGGAAGAGGATGTAGAGGAGCTTATTGAGGAACACGAAGAAGAGCTGACAACTGAAGAGCTCCAAGCACTTCTGGTCCAGCAACAGGACAATGCTCAAAGGGAAGCGTCATCTGATAACGAGGAGCAACAATCAAACAATCAACCAATCCCAACTGCTGACATCAAGAACATCCTGGTCAAATGGAAAGCAGTTCAGGAGTTTACCAATGCCCACTATCCGGATTCAGCTGAAGCAAACAGGATCAACGATCTTTACTTCGATACTCTTGTCCGTTATTTCCGGCAGATGTTGGAGAAAAGAGAAAAACAAACGACTTTGGACAGGTTTTTCATGAAACCATCGGCCAAAAAGCAGAAAATGGATGAAGATGTGCAAGATTCGGTAGACTCTACTTAGTCTGTCTTAAAATTTAAAAAATGTGTTTTTTTTTAAATTATGTTTTTAGATGTATCTAAATAAAAATAATAACAAAAAAATTATCTTTTTTTTATGTCATCTTAGCATATTTTATGCTACAGAACGAATTATTTTTTTAACATGTATTGTTATGGGAAAACGCGTTTCACATAACGAACTTTTCGCATAACAAACTTGCTCCTGGAACTAATTAAGTTCGTTGTGTGAGGCACCACTTGTACTTAAGCCAGTAATAGAAACCAATAACATCAGGCACCTGTGGCTAAATCTAAGCAAAGATGCAGATAATGATACAAAATATCACCCAAGAACATGGGAACAGACTAAAAGAAGAGATAAATAGGTTGCATGGATGAAGACCAGATATTAGTGTATCTTAGTTCTCTAAACAAATCTATAAATTCTAAGCAGTTCCAATAAATATCACTTTTTTTTCACTGTAAGTTTACTTGCTGATTTTCAGATATGTATCCAAATTTCAAAACTTAATGCAGATATAATGAGTAACAAGTGTAATGTTGACATAGAAATCAACAAATGGACCAATGGAACAAAATAGAGGATTGCTATGGATTGAATTTTGTCTTCCCAAAATTCATATGTTAAAAGTCCTAAACCACAATTTGATAGTATTTGGATATGGAGGCCTTTGGGAGGTAGTTAGGTTTTGATAAGGTCATGATGGTGGGGACCTCATGATGGAATTAGTAGCCTTATAAGAAGAAATACCAAAGAATTTACTCTCTTCTGTATCCTCCCCCTCCCTTTCCTCCTCTCCCTCTCCCTCTCCCTCCCCCCCTCCCTCTCCCCCTCCCTCTTCCTCTCCCCACTCTCTCAACATTGCATGTCCCCTGAGACTCTTCCTTCAGTTTCACCCTCAGAGGAAAAGGGAAAGAAAATATGTGGAGAAAATCTTCTCTAGCTGACATGTAGACCTGGGAGCAGAAGGATAATTTTTTTAAAATATGTTGTTTTTATTGTTTGTTTGTTTGTTCGTTTGTTTTAGAAAGGGGGATGGATAGAGAGATAGAAAAGTAGATTAGAGGGAAACATCATAGATCTGTTTCCTTCTGCGTTCCCCCCTAAGGGGGTTTAGCCTGCAACCGGAGCATGTGCCCTGACCAGGAATTGAACTTGTGGCCCATTAGTTCCTGGGTTGATGCACAATCGCTAAGCAGCACCTTCCAGGAAAAATGCTTATTGTTCTATGACACTAGGTTTGATACACAGCCAAACCTGAGAAGTACAATGTTGTTTATGATTACACATGCACCCCCCCTCATACACACATTCACAAATATATCTATGTATATACACTACACACACACACACACACACACACACATTTGTAATGCATGTGTATTGCTGATGGAAGTGGGATTCTTGCAGTGTTGTGAGAAAAAAATGTCTGGACTTCACAAGAAAGAATGAGGTCTGGGGATAATATTTATTTGTAATGCAAAATCAGAAAGAAGCCCCTCCAATGGCCCAACTCCATCTGTCTGATCTCTGTCCCACCATGAAAATCAGGTCCAGAAATAGAGTCAATGTCCAGAGATCCTGTGCCATATTAAACCTTAGTCCTAGTCCAGTATCTTGCAAGCTTAGTTTTTGCTCCCAGCTGCAATCCATTGCTTAGCTACTATACCCAGGCTCCCTCCTGGACTCTGCATTTTGAGTCTGAAGTGGCCAGTTGATGCTAAGGCCACATGGGTATGGAGAGAGAACAGGCAAGTGCATGGGGCGAGGGTGGGTCAGAAGCAATAGAGTGAGAAATTGGAAGTGGGGTAGAGCTTTGTCTCCTGGCATTATAAGCAGGAACTTTTTCAAAATATGCAAGTAACTTCCCAAGATTTCCTAGGCTTGCATTGGCTCTATCCCCCAGCCAATGATCTTTCTTCCAGGTTACACAGACAGATCTGCACTTGCACCATTCTGACTTTATTGTGTATGTGTTTACCTCCCTCTTTGTTCCATGATCTGTGGGGAATGTACTGGTGGTTTCCTGGGGATAGTGTAAACCTATAGCTTCCTGATGAGACAAAAATGCCTCTGCTTCCCAGCTGACCATACTTAAAATGCCTGACTCTCCCTTTGCTTCCTTTCCTTTCAAAAACTAACTAAAGATGGCAACTTGTACATGATAAGAACATGAATAATAAACTTAGGAGAGTGGTTATTTTTTAGAAGGAACAACAGATCCTTTCCCCCTTTATCCTGATTCATTTTACCACATTCCATGTGTTTGTTTATTGTTTTCCCCTCTTTCACACACACACACACACACACACACACACACACACACACACAAAATGTGAATTTCACAAAAGCAGGAAACTTTTCTTATTTGCTGACAGCTATGGACCAAGCATCCAGAACACAGTAGCCACTCAATAAACACTTGTTGAAAGAATAAAACTTTTTCACATCTGTAGATATGGACAATACTACTAGCCTTGTAAGGTTATACTGAGGCTGAAATGAGAGTATGTCCGTGAGCACACTTGTCATCTGGATACTCAATTATGTCAGCGTCCTTTCTTTTCTTTTTCTATTTTGGATCTGCAATTTCCCTATTGAACTATCTCAATAATGTATACGACACTCAAAGTTTAGGTTCTATTGCTTCTTATTTGTGCAATCTTCAACAAGGTATTTAGCCTCCTTATGTCTTCGTTTCCAGAACTCACATTAATACCTACCTCAAAGGTTGGTTGAAAGTATTTAATGATATAATTATATTAAGCACTTAGCAGAGGTCATGACACATAGTAAATGCCAAATAAACTTTAGCTGCTTTATTATTATTATTTTTGTTGTTGTTGTTATTAATATTATAATTATTATGACTACTATAATACTACTACAAAACAGGCAGTTGCTCTGTAGTATAAGTTCACGAGTATTTGCAAGGCTTCTTTAAGAAAATACTCTCTTCCAGACTAACCTGTCATTTGAGTCATAAATTTCACCATTATGAAATTATTCTTTTGATTTATATTATATTAATTCCAGCTGCTTCTTATAAACTTTATTGGGAATATGCTCCCAAAAGTTTAGATTCATTCATGTTATGTGATATGTTGGGCAGATTGGCAACATGAGGGAGATGGGTGCAGGTTTGGGAACAGAAATGAATGGATAAATTTTAAAGGCAACCTTGGGTTATTTACCCCTTTACCTTAAGGATGACCCTGTTTAGAATTGCTTCTAGTTGCTCTGTCTTAGGAGTCAACTCTGTAGTGTCTGTCACTTAATGTAGGTTAGAGATTGGGAACCGTATAAGAAGTTCTGTTAAGGTTACCAAGTGCTCCATGTTCTGAGACTATTTCTAGCTGTTTTATGTACCATTATCTCTCCCCTCTATTAGAGACCTGCCAAGAGAAACCAACTTCAAACTCAGTACACAGGTGTTATTAGCCATACTTCTTTATGAGCCTGGGAATAATATCCTTAGCTCTCCTGTTTAGAAGGCTGCATTATTTAGCTCAAATTTCATTTTATGGACATGTTTAGGATTCTTTGAAGTCAATTTGGGAATGATTATAATCAGTGCACAAACATGAGCAAAGGTTTGTGAAAATACTTGTTCCTAGTTGATATCTTTTTTAAAACATTCTTATTAAAGCATAACTTAAACATCATAAACACCATAAACATCATAAACATCATAAGCATACAGTTAAACATCACGTGTTTAACTGTATGCTTCATATAAATCTTAGTAAATTTATAAATCTGTGTAACCATCAACACAATCTAATTTTAACATGTTTATCGTTAATGCATTCCTTGTTCCATTACTCAATATTCTTGATGGGAATTCTAGAAAACGTTCAAACTTTAGCTACATGGTTTTATGGAATAAGTACCTTCCAATGAAGTGGTACAAAATGAATTTCTGTAGAATTCATCAAATTTAAATGACCAAGAGCTTTTATAATTTGCAATCAATTAGAAATTCATTTAATGACATGTATGGGAGGGATATGGTTATCACACAAAGGAGTGACTGCATTGAATATTCTCATGAAAATATTGCATTAGGGCTTGTTACTGCTAACTGCCACAGAAGATATACATTTCAATGTCTTGACACAACAAATGTTTATTTACCCAAGTCTAATTCAAGTTGGTGAAATTTTTCTTCAAGCAGCAATTCAGGGATTCGGGTTTTGTGCATTTTGTGACACTGTTATCTCAGCATGTATTATAGTTTCCAAGATCATATGAAGAAAAGCAAAAGATGGAGGAGGAATACTAGCTCTTACCCCCCTGAACCTAGAATTGGTGCACATGACTTCCACTTAGAGTCCATTAGTCAGAACTAGCTACACAACTCCAACCTAAATGCAAAAGAGTTGGAGAAAGTAGGTTAACACATAGATCATTATGTAACCTGCTATAGTGGTCAAGATTTGGTTGCTTGCCGAAGCTGGTTTGGCTCAGTGGTAGAGCATCGGTTTGCGGACTGAAAGGTCCCGGGTTCGATTCCGGTCAAGGACATGTACATTGGTTGAGGGCATATCCCTGGTAGGGGGTATGCAGGAGGCAGCTGGTCGATATTTCTCTCTCATCGACGTTTCTAGCTCTCTATCTCTCTCCCTTCCTCTCTGTAAAAAAATCAATAAAATATATGTTTTTTTTAAAAAGATTTTGGTGCTTTATTTTCCTCCTTCTGCTCTTTTCTCAAGCCCCTGGAATGTCTCTAATATATGACAATATTCTGATTTTACATGTTTTATTTCTAGAAATTAGATTCACTCTTGGTTATTTAAAATGTGCAATTCCAGCTAGACTGAAATATCAGAATTCAACAAGAAGTGACACAAGTGAACAACTTGCTCTTCAGCCTGGAAATTCCCCCTTTAAGATCAGTTCTGTAAAAACAGTTTTACTTTACCAATTCAGTGAGAAATTCTTTGTAAAATTCATATATCAATGCTTTTATGAATATCTATGTTTTTCAACTTTATTGAAATACTAGAGGCCTGGTGCAAAAATGCGTGCATGGGTAGGGTCCCTAGACCTGGCCAGCAATCAGGGCCTATCAGGGCCTTTCTTCCCCTGGCTGCTAGTTGTTGGCCAGGGCCTTTCTTCATTCTGTGCTGCCTCCTGGTTAGCACACATCATAGTGGGCAGTTGAACTCTCGGTCAGTCGAACTTGAGAGGGGACAATTTACATATTAGCTTTTTATTTTATAGGATAATTGACAAATACAAACTTTATATATTTAATTGTTCAACGTGGTTTTAAGGTATACAATATGATTTAATTATGTATTGTTAAGTGATAAACATAATCAAGTTAATTAAGACATCCATAACCTCACATAGTTACAATTCTGTGTGCGTGGGAGTGGATGCATGCATGCGCATGTGTTTGTGTTTGCGTGTGTGTGTGTGTGTGTGTGTGTGTGTGTGTGTGTAGTTAAGAATTTTTAGACTCATGTATTACATAACCAGCTCAACAAATCACCAATAATTTTGGACACTATTTGATTATCCTTATTAAGAGCTCATGATAAATGTAATGAAGGGGTCTCTTTCCTATCCTCTAATCTCCTTTTCCTCAACCCTGCTATACTCAATACCATTTTGCAATGATGAACTCAAGGTGAAAACCTAGGTGAAAGCTGTGAAAAAGTCAAGGATACATGAGTTCCCACCTTGGATCTTCTGCTAATTAACTTTGTGACTTTGGATGAGTATCTTAACCTCTCTGAGTCTCTGCTTTCTTATCTAAAAAGAAAAATCACAATCATAGCCAATGATAGATATTAATTTGAGACTATTTCTAGCTGTTTTATGTCCCATTATCTCTCCCCCTTATTGGGGTGTGATCTCCATAGAACAACTTTGTCATCCGTTGCTAGCTAATTCTCACTTCCTGCATTCCAGAGATTTATTTTCTAAGAGTCTTATTTTGGAGTCCCAGTCCTTAAATTTCTGGGCTACTTCTCTTCAAATACTGTACATGCAAATATAAATTGTGTTTTATAGTTTTCACTAGAGGCCCAGTGCACGAAATTCATGCACAAGGGTGGGGGGTGTATTTGTCTTACTCTGACTGACTTGTTTCACTTAGCATAATAGTGTCCCTCAGCCCAGCCTGCATCCTCTCCAATCTGGGACCCCTCGAGGGATGTCCGACTGCCTGTTTAGGACCGATCCTGGTGGGACATCTTTCTCACAGTCCAGGACTGCTGGCTCCCAACTGCTCTTCTGCTTGCCTTCTTGATTGCCCCTAACAGCTTCTGCCTGCCAGCCTGATCACCCCCTAACCACTCCCATGCCAGCCTGATTGATGCCTAACTGCTCCCCTGCCAGCCTGTTTGCCCCCAACTTCCCTCCTCTGCTGGCCTGGCCACCCCTAACTGCCCTCCCCTGGAGGGTTGATTGCCTCCAACTGTGCCTCTAACTGCCCTCCCTAACTGCCCTTTCCTGATGGCCATCTTGTGGTGGCCATCTTGTGTCCACATGGGGGCAGGATCTTTGACCACATGGGGGCAGCCATCTGATAAGGTCAATCTGCATATTACTCTTTTTTGTAGATAGGATAGAGGCCTGGTGCATGGGTGAGGGTCGGCTGGTT